AACTTTCGTTTTAAGTCATATTTTTTATCATGTCCCTTTGTGAGTGCCAATGTGGTCATGATTGGGTATCAATGGGACCAATCACGTTTTCCAAGTACCTCTTGACTATTGCTCTACCGATTGCGTAAAGGGAAATTCTCTCGAGTGCTGACAATCACTGACAGGAGAATTGGTAAACATGACCCCCCATTGATGGTGTATACTGTGCTGACTAGCTATGTGACGTATATATATACCTTGCACCAGACGCCTTGAATATTTCTGCCCATTCTTCTGGTACAAAGAACTCGGTGGTAAACTTTGAAGCAAAGTCAGCGTATGTGAAGTCGGGTCTGAAATTCTCCTTCATAAAGTCGACCACGTCAGGATTTTTCGTACCTTTCCAATACCACCAAAACCATTCCGACTTGAAGCTCGGCACCGAGAACACACCCCAGTGGATGAAGATTCCAAGTTTTACGTCATCATACCAGCCAGGAATAGGCCTGGTGTCAAGCGACTCCCATGTCGGCTGGTACTTCGTACAGACAGACAATGAAAACAACGCCAATGTTACGAACACAAACAACTTAATGTCTGCCATGTTTTATGTGCAGTGTTTCGTGAGATCACATGATCCAAGTCATATGATAAAATAAAAGAGGTGATTCCCACACTTAACTCTTTGTAAGTCGCAATCTTCATATTGACACAGTTCACAACAAGGAAAAACTGAGATATGTTATTTCTGAAATATTGTCCATCATAGAAGCTGTCAGAACTGGGTTCGATTATTTTACGCACGCACAAGACTATTTTATTAGAAATATGTCGTTTTGTTTTACAAAAGCGAAAGCTTGCCATGTTTTTCGAGCGAATCTTTATATTTTGATACGAGTTATATCCCTTTCTACATATGGTTGGCATGGTCTAGGCTTATAGCTATGGCAATTCGTTGGATCAGGTCACCAGACTACATGAACTAAAGATTTGACCGTTCGGTTTAAGGGATTATGACGTGTTTACTATACTTGTCCTGACCTTAACCAGATTTATGTCTCTATAAGATTCCCATTTGTTTTTAGAGTTTTGGCGGTTTGGAGCCGTTTTAAACGTCCGTATTATCAACATATTTGAAATAATTCGACACATTTTCAGCGTTTCACATTATATTTCGCTAATACCAGAGCCATTAAAACAATTTGGTCTACATCTACATTTTCTGAACCAAGGACGCATGGCCCTTTATCGGCACAAGGTGACTAAACCCGAACAGCAGTTCCAGCTTTCTCACCTCCAGATCTCTTGTGATCAAACACAAATAAATGACATAATTATCCTACCTTTAGTGGTCAAACACTATAACGAGAACAGCTTGACCTGGTGACAAGGTGTACCATGGTGGTTTTAATGGGTCCGACCATAGTCAACCACCCATTAGTCAGATTGATACAGGATACTAGTTCTCGCTTTATTCAAAGATGGTTGGCGAAGTCAAAATGTCCTTCAGCTTATCAAAAACTTCCTTTTGATCTGGCCAAGTGTCATTGGAGCTGCCTTCCGTGGTTTGTTTGTTTGTGTATTATTTGGGAAATGACATCTCAATGGTTTTGAAATAAACAATTCTAAACACTAAAATATTTAACTTGTGAGTCCGGAGTGTCTACTCACGAATCCTATTTATTTTTCAGGATCTGGTTCTTCTGTTATCAATCCCTGGTACTTCACCTGAGATTAGAAAAGGAACAACAATGGATGGCTTCTCCTTGTCCATGCAATCTCGCCACGTCAGCCTCAACGAATCGTAAGTAGGAGAGCGAGGTTCTTCCTGCACATACACGTTGAACACCTATGTTGTTAGTCTACTTGGGAGAATAGAGAATAATAAAATGGTTCCTGGTTGGTCTCAACTGTTGATCTAGCAATGGATATACCTCTATCAATACAACAGTGAGTACTGTCTCGTTACACTCGCAGACTAATTACACAAGTCGGCTTTGCATGGTTCTTAAATGGCTGATTCGGTTACGTAGCCTGCTTCCCGTTTAACACCCCCTTTGAGTGATCCAGCATGATAAGACGGTGACTGTTCAGTTGTCCATAGTGTCCACATCGCCAGTACCCCGGCACTATCCCGTTGTTTTGTGTTGTTCCATCTCTTTTTGCTCACATTCCCTGGTGACTGCCTCGGTGTTGGTCTGTTGTCTTTAATATCTCTTTCCGTTAAGACTTACCTCCGTATCCCTCTTTCCCTCATCATCTCTCTTCCTCATCATTCTGACACCTTTTCACTCTTCTATGTCACCATCTTACCGATTTTCTCCCTGCTGGACCATGGCGGTCATCACTTTGGCCCAGACGCCGTTAAGACAGGTCATACAAGCACTTGACATTCTGATAGTAGCTATGCCGTTTGAAGTCATCGGACTTTTACGAGATGCGTTAAATTTATTCTTATAATTCTTTTTCAATTCTGGCTACAATTACAATGCCAGATGCCTGTCGCTCAAAGACCATTAGCTGGTAAAATGCAGTAAAAGAGAACCGACTGTTCTTTCAAGTCGGGCTTTCCTGCATGCATGATCATGACACGTGTTAAATGCATACAACTTTCTAGATACTAAGTAATGTCCATTTTTCATCAAATTTAATTTTGCTGAAATCTAAACAATCCTGCTAGATGATACTTGGTGGTAGTATGTATTCGGTAAGTTGATAATACAAAACGCTATTTAATGCAGAAAGGAGGCCAATCAGTATCTCACCAATACTGTACTGTGTAGATTCTACATATTAATTTGATCTGCTATACGGTTCACTTGTGGCGTGTTACAGGAGTAGGTATGAGTTATCCCTAACCTACCCAGACCACTATAATAAACCAATACTTAAAATAATATCGAAAATTATAAATAGAATTACAGGCATACATGCATGGGGACAGAGAACTTGTGTACCAGTAATGAAAAGTCTGGTTAGCTTAACGAAATAACATTTCAAAATTTTCAAATGGACATCTTTAGGAAACATCATAAATTTACCTTTCTTATTATTTGAGTTTCTTGTCTAAGACATATTGTGAATCGTTATTCTTGTAATTTTATTCTTAATTAATCACAATATTTTTTGAAAATATACCTAATAAAAAGTGTGTGTTGACTAGTCGTAAAGCTTAGCTGTCATTATTCACATGTCGTTAAGTTGATTGATAAAATATTCTCAACTTTCAATACATCTAAGATAACGAGTGAACTGGTCCTCGTGATGGCGGTCCGAGAGGTGAGGTCGCAATACGATATGTCGGGGAGGGGGAGAAATGTCAGGGAGACACTAAAGTCCGGCACCAGACCGTGACCCGATGTTATGTGTCAAACAAGTAGCCATTGTCTCAACACTCCACACAAGTCAAATGTACTTTATGCACTTGAGTAACTATGCATTGTTGATAACATCCGCCATTTAAAACACGTAGAAAATGTAGATATTTTGATTGCTTCGAATGTGACACTCGATCTCTGTAGATTTAGTGTGTTCTGTGGCCTGTACCGTTACGTAAGGAGCTTAGCAGTACAGTCAATTGTGTTTTAAAGGAAGTTTTGTTCTGAATATGACCGTATATGGAGTGACATCTGTCATGTTGGTGAATCACGCATCGTGGAAATTCTAAAGATGTCAAAGCCATATCTCTGTTTGTTTTAAGACATCTAGTTCTCTTTTAGCAACCTGGGTAGATCGGGCGCAGGTCTTACAACAGAACAGTTCTGTAGTAATAATTGACAGAATGGTCATTAGATTATGTTACACTCGTTATACGAAACTGTCATCAAATTGGAGTTTGTTGAGATGCTAACACCTTATTTCTGACATGATACGTCACGTGAAACCTATGGTCCCTATGGTGACTGGCAAATTCAGAAGTATCCATTGTACTGTGACCTTTGTCATGGGTACGTGTACCCCTCCCACTGTACGGCCCAGTTACCTCGTTGCATGAGTCAGCCGATTTTGTTTGGTTGTTATTTTCCCCATGCATATTGTTTTCACGCTTGACGTATATGCTTCCGGTTCTGTTTGCTGCCTGTTCTTCCGGTTCCGGTCACGATGAAATTTACTGTATCGAAGATTCATCCCCAGAACACAAGGATGTCAATCCGTCGGAATTTACTCAATAAATAAAGTGTCTTCTGAAGTCAGCGTCCTCTGTGGTAGTCGTCATGGTCTACTCTTACTGCAATTACTGAGACGAGGAATCAACAGTGTCCTCTGCGGTAGTCGTCATGGTCTACTCTCAACAGTGTCCTCTGTGGTAGTCGTCATGGTCTACTCTTACTGCAATTACTGAGACACGAGATCAACAGCGTCCTCTGCGGTAGTCGTCATGGTCAACTCTTACTGCAATCACTGAGACATGGAATCAACAGCGTCCTTTGTGGTAGTCGTCATGGTCTACTCTTACTGCAATTACTGAGACACGGACTACTCTCAACAGTGTCCTCTGTGGTAGTCGTCATGGTCTACGATTACTGCAATTACTGAGACACGGAATCAGCAGCGTCCTCTGTGGTAGTCATCATGGTCTACTCTTACTGCAATTACTCTCTTACTGCAATCACTGAGACATGGAATCACCAGCGTCCTTTGTGGTAGTCGTCATGGTCTACTCTTACTACAATTAATCTCTTACTGCAATCACTGAGACATGGAATCACCAGCGTCCTTTGTGGTAGTCGTCATGGTCTACTCTTACTACAATTAATCTCTTACTGCAATCACTGAGACATGGAATCACCAGCGTCCTTTGTGGTAGTCGTCATGGTCTACTCTTATTGCAATTGCTGAGACACGGAATCAATAGCGTCCTCTGCGGTAGTCGTCATGGTATACTCTTAGTGCAATTACTGAGACACGGAATCAATAGCGTCCTCTGCGGTAGTCGTCATGGTATACTCTTAGTGCAATTACTGAGACACGGAATCAATAGCGTCCTCTGCGGTAGTCGTCATGGTATACTCTTAGTGCAATTACTGAGACACGGAATCAATAGCGTCCTCTGCGGTAGTCGTCATGGTATACTCTTAGTGCAATTACTGAGACACGGAATCAATAGCGTCCTCTGCGGTAGTCGTCATGGTCACCTCTTACTGCAATCTCTGAGACATTTAATCAACAGCGTCCTTTGTGGTAGTCGGCATGGTCTACTCTTACTGCAATTACTGACACACGGGATCAACAGAGTCCGCTGAGGTAGTCGTCATGGTCTACTCTTACTACAATTAATCTCTTACTGCAATCACTGAGACATGGAATCACCAGCGTCCTTTGTGGTAGTCGTCATGGTCTACTCTTATTGCAATTACTGAGACACGGAATCAACAGCGCCCTCTGCGGTAGTCGTCATGGTCTACTCTCAACAGTGTCCTCTGTGGTAGTCGTCATGGTCTACTATTACTGCAATAACTGAGACGAGAAATCAACAGCGTCCTCTGTGGTAGTCGTCATGATTTACTCTTACTACAATTACTGAGACACGGCATCAACAGCGTCCTCTGTGGTAGTCGTCATGATTTACTCTTACTACAATTACTGAGACACGGCATCAACAGCGTCCTCTGTGGTAGTCGTCATAGTCTACTCTTACTGCAA